CCCAGACAGGTGGGCTGCACTGCTGGGTTTCAATTCTTTTCCTCCCAAAGCTGTTCACATGCCTTTTGCAAATCTCCAAGGAGGGAGAATCCACAACTTCTCTGGGCAATGCATGCCAGTGCCGTCACCGGTAAAAAAGTGTTTCCTGATGTTTCAGACACAGCCTCCTGTGTTTCAGCCTGTTCCCATTGACTGTCATCCTGTCATTGGGCACTACTGAGAAGACTCTTCTTTGCACCTTCCCTGTCCCCTTCACAACCCTTCCTTCAGTTATTTATATGTATAGTATATTGGGTTTATGTGACAAGGTTTTGGTAGCGGAAGGGATTCCAAGGGTGGCTTCTGTAAGAAGCTGCTTAAAAGATGCCCCTGTGCCAGGTGGCACCAGTTCCAGCTGGCTCCAAGATGGACAAGCCACTGGCCAAAGCTGAGCTAATCAGTGGTGTTGGTAGTGCTTCTCTGATAACATGTTTAAGAAGAGGTAAAAACTGCTGCAGAAGAGAGCTGGGAGAGAGGATTGAGGATGTGTGAGGGAAAACAACTATGCAGATACCAAGGTCAGTGAGGAAGAATGGGGAGGTGGCATGGGAGCTCCAGGCACTGGAGCAAAGATTCCCCTGCAGCCTGTGGTGAAGACCATGGTGATGCAGGTATTCCCCTGTGCCACGGAGGACCATGGTGGAGCAGATATCAACCCTGCAGCCCATAGTGGATGTACCCTGAAGGAAGTTGTGATCCCATGGAGAGCTGGAACAGGTTCCTGCCAGGAACTGTGGTCCCATGGAGAGGAGCCCATGCTGGAGCAGGTTTTCTGTTAGGACCTGTGGCCCCACTGGGGATCCATGCTGGAGCAGTCTGTTCTTGAAGCAGTGTGCTCCACAGAAAGGACCCATGCTGGAATAGTTCATGAAGAAATGCAGCCTGTGGGAATAACCCACATTGGAGAAGTTTGTGGAGGACTGTCTCCTGTGGGTGGGACCCCACACTGGAGCTGGGGAAGAGCATGAGGAGGAAGGAGCAGCAGAGACAATGTGTGATGAACAGTAAATTAAATTAAACTAATTTCCCCAAGTCAAGTCTGTTTTGCTCATAGTGATAATTGGTGAGTGATTTCCCTGTCCTTATCTCAACCCATGAGCCTGTTGTCATATTTTCTCCCCCTGTCCAATTGAGGAGGGGGACTGATAGAGGCTCTTGGTGGGCACCTGGCAGCCAGCCAAGTTCATCCAGCCAAGTTCATCCAACCAACATCATCCCACCACACATTGATAACATCCCCCCTGAGCCTTATCTTCTCTAGGGTAACCAGTTTCAGTTCTCTTAGCCTTAACTCAAAGCAGACATTCTCCAGTCTGTTAATTATCTTTGTGACCTTTCATTGGACTCTTTCCACTACATCCATATTTCCCTTGTACTAAGTGTGGATAGTTAGGGCTTGGCGGCTGGAAGATATCGCGCTGTACGGAAATACAGGGCCCCTCTCCGGTTAGCCAATAGCATTTAGCCTATGACGTAAGCAGACGGAAGTGACGTTGTAAACCCAAGCTATATAATGCTGTGCTACTCATCAATAAATGCCATTTGTCATCCACCACATTGGTGTCTGCGAGCTGATGGCCCGAGCGGCCTGGCATTGGTCGTCGTGCCGTTCCTGAACCAGGTTGCCACGCCTCCAAAGGCAACAACTAAGGAGCCCAGAACTGGAACCAGTACTCCAGGTGCTGCCTCTCCAGTGCTGAGTAGAGGGAAAGGATCACTTCCCCCCGCCTGCTGGCAACATTCCTCTTAATGTAGCCCAGGTCACTATTAGCATTCTTTGAGGAAAGGGTGCATTTCTGCTTCATGATCAACTTTGTGTCCACCAGGACAACCCAGGTCATTTTCTGCAAAGCTGATCTCCAGCTGAGCAGCCCCAAACACAGAGTAATAACACTGTCTTCCATCCTTGTCCTGTGGTTCTAATAGACTGTGGGGTATGTATGGGGGCAAAGCCCCCCACCACCGAGTCCCAGAGTCTGCAGATGTGGGAAGACCCTGGCCTGTGTGTGGGGAGCAGCGGTGCTGCAGAGAACACAAGGGCCACTTCAGCCCCAGGGCTCTGGGAATGCTGAAGGAGCTTGGTGCCTGGCGGAAGGCACTCCAGTGAGTGCTCTCTGGTGGGGCTGGGGCGTGCCCTATGCCATTCCGGGGCAGCTCACGGATCCTGCAGAGTGTAGAATCAAAGCCCACTGCCAGGGCCATGTCTCCGCAGAGCTGGGGGTATCTCCTCTCACACAGCACCTTTCCGAACAACAGTTGGGTTGTGGCACGTGTGGGGCTGTAGAATTCCTGGGCCTCGGGAAAGCTGTGCTTGAGGAAGACGAGGCAGCACAGAGCAGTGTTGTGTGTTTGGGCACCAGTCCCTGTCCTGGAGCCGCCTTCAGCCAAGGGGGTGTTGGCTTCACAGGGACAGGGCACTGCAATGTGGGGCCTGCTGTAGCTGATACCAGTCCTGACTTGTGAAGGCCTCAGCCCTATACATGTAGGCAAGAGGTGGGCAATGACAAAGCCAGAGGAGCACTCTTCCCCCAGAGCATGGGGGACTGCTCATCTCCTCCTCACGGCCTCCCACATGCCCGTGGTTCCTCTCTGGAGGACAGCACTTGTCAGGATTCCTGTGCACATGCCGTGCTCCAGGGCCAAGGGGGTATTTGTGAGCAGAGGTGCAGCAAGGCAAGGCCTGATGGCCGCTGGCTGTGGAGTAACTGGGCTTGTCTATCCCAGGTTCATGAGGCAGGGCCGGAAAGAGGACTCACTGCAGTGGGTCCCACCCTCCAATGGCTCGAGGAGGGATGATGGCTTCCCTGTTCCCCCGCATAATTCCTCCCGCACAGCAATGCCTTTCTCCCTCAGCACTCAGTCTGCAGATGGAAAGACCACCTAAGGGACACAGGCAGGGTTGCAGCAATGTTTTAATGAGTCTAAAGTGGGAAAGGAAGTGACGGCAAGTGGAGGCCCCCAGCGCAGGGAGGAGCAGGAGCAGCCCAGAATCTGTTCTCCTCTTCCTGTGGCAGAGTTCCCACAGGGCATCTGTTGACCTGCCCGGCAAAGGCAGTCAGGTTAGCAGGGGCCTCTAAGCTGCTTTCTGGGGTCCTCAGAGCAGGCTTTGAGGGGAGCACAAGGCACCAAAGAGCAGAAAGACAAAGGGTGATTGGAATAGAGGCAAGGCAGACATTGACCGTGTTTTCAGAGCACCCAGGCTGGCCTCTTGCAGTCTGCCCTTGCAGGGCAAGCCACGGATGACCAGTGTGTCTGAAAGCAAGGGCGTGAAGTTTGATCATCTGTGCAGCAGCAGGATCTGAGTTCCTGGGGGTCCTTATGCGAGGCCGTTGGCAGCATCTTTAGCAGGGGCGGCATCTGCTGCCACAGGAGCGGCTGGGGATGCAGGAGAGGTCACAGCAGCCAGAGGGGATGGGCACTCCCACACAGCTGAGGATGCGGGAGGGCTCGATGACGACGGTGGAGTTCTGGCACTGCCTGACACAGGGCTCATTGCAGCTGTTGGCCAGTGGGGTCGGGCCACAGGGCTGGCAGGGCTGGCATGGGCGGCACTGGTCGTAGCAGGACATGTCTTGGGTCAAGAGGTTCACCTGGGAGAGAGGACAGGGAAGAAGCAAAAGATGGCAATGCACAAGGAGCAGCCTGTCACCACACCATGAAGGAACCAAAGAACATTTAGGGCTGGGAGGCAGAGACTATGCAGGGGTGTTTGAGGGCTTCTTGGCCTCGTCCTCGCAGCACCCCAAAAGAGCCACCAGCTCCCATGCAGCTACTGCCTAGCCCATGAATCCAGAAGCCACCTCCATACACTACCCCTTCCCTCCCTGTCTAAGTCTCTCCCCACTTCCCTCTCTCATGAAAAGCAGACCCGCAATCTGGCAGGGGACAAAGCTGGTGTCAGCTGAGACGTCCATTGAGGTGAGGCCTCCTTTCAGAGAAAGCAGAGAAGGAGAAGGAGCTTCAGACTCACCTGACTCCCAAGGAGAAGGAGGCAAGAGAAGGGGATGAGAGAGCGAGGAGCTGGACTGGCTTTCATAGTGGACCTTTGTCGCCCAAGGCTGCCAGAGGCATCCCTTGGAGAGGTGATTCTCCTCTGACAAGCTCATCTTGAACGCAAACCATCCCAGCTAATGCCATGGGCTGTGTTTTGGCTTCCTCAATGGCTGCCTTTTCATTTCCTGCTTTATGCCAGGCACGCTCCCCACTGGAGGCATCTTTTGCGTGACAGGATGAGAGGCCCGAGCATTTGCGGTGCAAAGCACATCAGCGTGGGCAGAGGACTCATCTCCCATGCTGGAGGAGTCCAGCAAAAGCAAATTATGTCAGGCTGGGTAACTCCTATGGGGCTTTTTGTGGCCATGTGGGTAAGAAGTGGCTCCTGGCTTTGACCCTATCATGCCTAACAATGTTCCCAGGACAATTCTGCTGGCCTATTCTGCTTCCTCCTTTTCTGCACCAGGGAGAGGGGTGTGGGCCCCATGTCTGGGGCCTTGTCCCTCCCCAGAAGAAGAAGGATTTCCTCTGATGTCTTCAGTAGGGTGCACTGTTGGTTGTGTTCCTATGGGTGTTCTTGTCTTGCGCGCACTTGTGCGCACTTGCCGAGGTGTGCATGTGTGTCCCTCTTCATGATGGGACTGTTCTTCTTATGGCCACGGCACTCTCCACTGCCCTGTCAATGAGCTCCACAGAGCATCCAGGGTCAGAAGGAGCTTAGTGCAGCTGGACAAAACCAGAACACAAATAGTGGAGAATTGTCCTCAGCACAGGCTCTGAAATACAACCTTTTGTAGCATCAGTCCTCCTTTTGGTATTCCTCCAAAGTTCATGCTCTGCTGATGATGACTCCAGGCCCCAGCAAGGACTGTTTTGCACCTGTTTACATCCTTAGTTTAATTCAGGGTAAACAATATTGGGAATGCCTTGGCATGGCTGGCAGTCCCCACTCTCTGCTTCTCCAGGCCAGGACACAACTCTCCCCAGATCGCGGCAGTTCAAAAGTCTGGGGTTGGCTCTGTGGACAGGAAGAAAGACTGAGAAATCCTGCCAACTTCATTCAGGCTATGCCCAAGGGGATCTGCTTCCAGTGCAGTGTCAGTGCTGTCCGGTGTGAGACATGGCCTGCCTCGTGTCCAAGGCAAGGTCAGATGTACCTGTGCCTGTACCTGTGACACATCAACCTCATGCTGTGTCAGGCAGGAGCTGAGACCTTGGACCAAACACGTACTGAACTAAAGGAACATGGCATAGGGAAAACACTGAGGTGCTCGATGGATATTTGTCCTCGCTTTTTACTGGCATGGCTTCTCCTTGGACCCATCACGTCCCTGATCCTCCCCGCAGACTCTCTGGGAATGAAGCAGCACTCACAGTAGAAGAAGGAATTAAGGAGCTCTGACTACCACTTGGACATAGATAAGCCCATGGGACCAGATGGGATCTCTCCAAGGGTGCTCAAGGTGCTGGCTATTCAGTCTCCACTCAGTCCCTGGAAAGAAGCTCTCAGAAGCCTTCTCATGAAAGAAAATAAAGCTACTAGGAGCAGCTCTCATAGGTTTACGGAGGGAAAATCATGCCTGCCTGACTTCATTGCTTTCTGTGAGGAGGGGAGTGACACCAGGCAATGGATGTGACATGCTCTGATTTTAGCAAGACTTTTGACTCTCTCCCCAGGCACACACATGTACATGTGAATGCACACATGAGCTCAGCCAGATGAACATGGATGTGACCATGAGCATGCAAGCACAACACTGAGAACCAGGGCATCAGACACCCCCTCTCAGCCTCTTGGGATGAGTCAAGCAAGTCCTTGAGACCCTACAGTTAAGGCAAGAAAGAAGGTATTTGTCAGCCCCATCAGCTTTAGTGAGCTCCAGGGTTTGACAGTGCTTCAGCCAGCTGGTTTCCCACCAACGGAGAAACAACAGCGGAGTCCAAGCTGTCACGGCCTTTACAGATGTTGAACATGTCCAAGTGCCAAGTCTGCAAGTGAAGGATAATTTGAAAACTATAGAATATCCCTATTTCTGTAGGCTCTCTGAATGCCAATTTTACAAGCAAAAAAAAAATAATTAAATCCTGTGTGTGCCTGGGACAAGCCAGACTCCCCGCAGGCTACAAACATTGAGGCTGGGACATCAGAAGTGATCGGTAGTAGTGACCCTGTCTCTAGACTCCCGCTATGGTAAATACCCTCTATTCAAAAGGCCAGGAAATGCAGAAGCAATATGAATTTACAGAGCAGCTGAACAAAAGTGGTTTGGCCACCCTGTGAGTACTCACGTATTCTTTTTTGATGTTGTTTTCCTGGCTTTAGCTGATGTGCTGGTCTTTTATCCTCTTGTGTTTTGCATGCAGGTGC